GGATGCCTTCAAGAAATGTAATGTTTATCTTGCTTCTTGATCAAATAGCCCCAAAAAGCAATAGAGAATTTTAATTGAATCCTGTTTTTTTTTGTTATTTTTGGAGCCACTGACTGTACCTTCTTGCACAGAGTATGTTCCTTCCATACACAGAGAACAGTCATAGCAGCAAACTGGGGCTCCCTCTCTCACAAGCTTGGTGTAACCTGGGGAGCAACTTTCTGTACATCTTGAATAAGGCACCATCTAAACATGAATAGAAAGATTTTTTCAGGGCAATGTATGATTTAGAAGGGTTTACTGAAATCAAATGCTTCCAGAAGCCCAGGAGCACATTGAGCAAAACCAGTCAAGAAGTAGTGGCATTAACTTTAATTACTCTACATGCAAGTGGCAAAGGAAAGGCCATTCTCTTTCTCTATCAATCTTCATTGTAGATCCCAAAACACACACACACACACACAGACACATACACACACAGAAACATAAAACTAATCTTTGTTTTCCCATGCTTCTCAGTTCCAGGTGCTTTTTCTGTTCTGACTGAATGGGGGAGTATTGAAGGATTTATATTCCTTACAGTCATCTGGTGGTTTCTAAAAGTTGTTATGGGCACTTGGAATTTATCTCCACCATCAGGGTCACTTGAATAGTGCAAATGGGTGTGGAACCTTCCTGCAATTGCTGAATTTGTATCCTTATAGTAAGCAAGTAAACCTAAGTAAGAAATCTGGGCATGGCTTAGCAATATTAAGCAGCCTGCTGCTTAATATTAAACTAACTAATTGTGTTTGGCTGTAACTCTCCTGCCTTGTGTTTACTTGGAAGAACCACCTGTTGGTATTGTACATTTATTCATCAATTCTCACATATATAAAGAAATTAATGAATCCAGCTGAATCGGTTATCTGTTTGTGGTTTCTAGATATGAATTTTTGCAACAAACTCTGACAATATCTAATAAATTATTGAGTCTTTAAGTTCTCTTATTTGGAAGTTATCTCATTTGTCCTCAATAAGTATTATTTCTTATTGAGCAGAAATAATTCCACATATGGAAGTAAACAGAAGAGGAAAATCCCAACATCCTCAACTACTTTGTTAAATAATGTTGGCCATTGGATGGCACTTTGATTGACAGAAATCTTCACTTCCAAGAAGGCTTGTTTTTCTACATTCCCAATTTTCACCCCCACATCTGATTTGTTCAAAAGTGATGTCCACTGCATGATATCAAAGCCACCAACAGGAATTCCACTTTCTTCCAAAGAAATCCAATCTCTGGAAATATTATGATGTTGGAAGTTTCTCAGGAACCTATGAAGCTGCAGAAACAGAAAAAACCATGACAATTTGAGCCTTTATTCAATGTGGTTCTTGCTATTATTCTGGATTGGAGATACTCTGAATAATTCAACCTCTTCAATCCACCACTGCCATCTGAAGCATTGATTCAGTATTTCATGGAAAGTTTTTTTCAGTTATTCCCCAGGAATTTACAAATCTTTTTCAAAATAAAACCTATGTCACATGGTCAATCTCGCCCTATAAAGTTACATGTTGGGTGAAAAGGACCTCATAGACGACTCTCACTCCATCAAGCACCAAGGACAACTCATCTCAAATGATCTAAGCCCCAGAGCTCACTGTAACATTATTGCTAAAAGGTATTAAGAGTTGTTAATCTAATTTTGTGAAGCTTCTTCTCCGGTAACATTGTACTGCAAACTAGGGAATACAAAACGTTTGCCAGACTAATTCTCAAATACAGCTCGTCTGCCTGGAATCCACNTTTTGTTTGACTCAGGAGAATAATCCTAATTTGAGAATCGAGAAAGGAACTATTCAGGGAAGTTTGATTGTTTTTATTAGTCTGAAAACTTATTCTTGAGATTCTAAAGCTTCAAATGTGGAAAAAGAGTTCAAGATTCGTGAACTAGGCAATGAGCTGTTATATTTCCTTCTTATTCTGTCTGATGTAGATGAGGTCATTGTCCTCAATGGTTAGATCAAAGGTGGTTTTCAGAGGGTTCAGACTGGTTCAGGCAAACCATTAATGGTAACCAGTCCCCCACCCCCGCTATATGCCATCCTATTAAGCCATGTTTTTTAAGCCATGTGCGTGAGCAAAGCACAAGTGTGGAAGTTCGCACACATGCGTGGAAGGCATAGATGCTCACAAAGCAGGCATGTGCCTGCTGGGAGAACCGGTGGGAAACTTATGTGACGCCCATCTCTGGGTTATATAGTCCAGAATGGTTAATTCCAGATCATGATATATTGAACAACCTATTGGAGACCCCTGTTAAATGTCTTGTATCTTCAAAATGCAGAAGATTATCAGTCTTCATGGCTACAAAGAAAATCTAATCAAAATTCCCTGCGGAATTAAACTAAAAAATAGCTTATTACAGAGTTCTTCATGATGTGGTGATATTTGCTGTCTCTTTCATGGGTGATCTAATAGGGAACCAAGATATAATGCTACAGCAGTACAATACCAACTTTTTCATCCCGAGAAAGGTCAGTCTCTTCTAATTTTCTATTACCCTGTTGTAGCATTTGGTCCATTTTGTCCATTCCCCCCCCTTTGTTCATGTGTTTTTTTCAAGGTACCTACCATACCTTTTTGGTCTCGTCAGGTAACCAGAATTCCTTCTTGTATCAGCCAATTGAACGTCACATTATATTTAATCAGTTGTGTTGTCAAGAATTGATACTGTCTCCACAGCTCTCGTCGCCTCTCTAACTCTCCTAGGTATTTGTTTTAAAGTCAGAAGTCCTCTCCCTTTGTACTCCATAAGCTCATCTCTAGTTCTTTTCTATATTTCATCTCTCAGCATCTTCTTGGTAAACCCCACGTGCACCTCTTTTGGTAATGTTTGCCTCCTTGCATAGTTCGTATGGATTCTGAATATTTTATCCATTTCTCATTGTACTTCATGCTTCTTTTTCTGCAGTACTGCAGCCAGCAGCTCTATCATCCCCTCAACCAGGTCTTCCTCTTTCTCTTCTACAATAGTAAGCTGCCTTTTCCATCTCAAGAAAGATAACTGTCTCTTCTAATTTTCTATAAGCCTGTGGTGGCTTTTGGTCCATTTCCTCCATTTCTTTCTCTGTTTGCTCAGCCCTTATTTCTATTTTCTGTACCTCTGTTCATTCTTCACTATCATTTGCTGGAAGTTCCCTATCTTTTCATCCATCTTACATATATCCCCTTCATCTTCCCCCTTTCATTTTGATTTCATCATGGTTTTTTGACATAATTTCCTCACTTTTGGTCATGGCTTCTTGGATCGATAGTAGCATCACTTGCATACTCTGCATGGAGCTTGACTTCTTCAGGCCTAACATGCTTTCTCTCATTTGTTGATTAGACTGGCTTGATGCCGCCNTTTCTCTCATTTGTTGATTAGACTGTCTTGATGCCGCCGATGATGTTGCTGATGAGGATGTATATATATTTACAAAGTTAATAATTAATACTTAATAATTAGATAAATAATTAGATTAAAAAGTATTAATAATTAATTATTCATAAATATTTAGAGTAATTGCTTCATCCGTTTTTTTTCCTTCAACAGTCAAATTTATAGACTACATTAAATTTATCCACACTGTTACTATTTTAGTACTTTGGAAGTGTTTTTGCAAATTAAAGTTCATAATCCACCAAGGCCCCAAACCCATCAAGTCACTAAGCTTCTCCCAAAATAATATCTAGATAGATGTATAGTTTCCAAGTTCACCAAGAAAATTTCTCTTCTTTTTTTCACTTTTCCACATTCAAATTGGTTAATGTCCTCTCTGAATATCACAAGAGTCTTTATGGGGTATTTATAAATATTGAATCAGTAAGCAATATTAATAAATATTAATAGTAAGCATATTCCTAGTAGTCTTTGTTTTTTTAAAAAAAGTTCTTAAAAATAGTTAGTCTAGGCTTTCTTCTAGCTCAGTCTCCATTTTTTTAAGAGTCGCTCTGTTAATTTTTTCTGGATATGTCAATAACTCTGAAAGCTTAGTTGCTGCTACTCTCATTGAGTGAAAATCCTGCTCCACCCCTTTTTTGAGTCCCACTTTCAGAGTTATATAGTGCTATATCAGGGTAAATTCATTTGCAGAAGATTAGAAAGTTCTCACTTAGTGCAGCCATGTTGCTCTTTGATTTTTATGTTCCTGTCTCTCATGAAGCTGTCACAGCCATGACGACCATCTTCTCTCCAGTTGGCTCCAAGGGGCTTCCCTATGTTATAGCAGGAGAATATCTTAATCCATGCAGTCTTTGGGGCTTCCCCACTACCTTCGCTATCTCCTCACGAATTAAAGCTGCTCTAATGTTCATGTTTCATATTTTATCTATTCTTAGTATATGGAATGTTATCTATTGCTCTGTTTTTCTCTTTCTTGATCTCTCTCATTTATCTAACTATGAGTGATCTTACATTATCCAGCCAGAAGAGACCAATCAAATACATACAGCATTTGACATTAACTCTTTTTTAAAACAAAGTCAGAACATCACCCAGAAAATAATATATAACACCAGCACACCAATCTATATAGTAACAAAATCACACATCATTGTTAGTCATAGTCATAGTCTTTGATTTAATATAAAACCTTATCAGAACATCTCTGGTAACTGTTTATCTGGCCTGGTTTCAGAAATTTTTATTAATAGCATTGATGATTGTTATGTTTTTCTGGGTGATGTTCTGACTTTGTTTTAAAAAGGAGTTAATGTCAAATGTTGTATGTATTTGATTGGTCTCTTCTGGCTGGATAATGTAAGATCACTCATAGTTAGATAAATGAGAGAGATCAAGAAAGAGAAAAACAGAGCAATAGATAACATTCCATATACTAAGAATAGATAAAATATGAAACATGAACTTTAGAGCAGCTTTAATTCTGGAGGAGATAGGGAAGGTAGAGGGGAAGCCCCAAAGACTGCATGTGGAAAAG